GCCTTGGGTCCGTGGGGAGACTGCTCCTTGGGGGGGGGGGGGAGGACGGGCGGGGACATTCCGATCCCTAAACAATCCCACTGCCCCCAAGCCACCAGACGAGAAACTCGCAGCCCTTACCTGGCCAGGGGGGGAAGCAGAAGGAGACAAGCAAAACCAGAATTACGCAGTGGGGCCTGGACAGAGGAATGCTGAGAGGTGGAGGGTTTCTCCACCACCCCAGCTCTACCGCCCGAAGACACCGACGCCAGGGGTGTCAGACTAGCTGGAGTCTCCTAGAGACTCGTGTGTGGCCTTTCCAAGCAAAAGGGCGGATTTGCCGCAGTGCGGGAGGGAAATGACCCATCCTTCAAGTCCTGTAAAATGACGGTTTATTAGTTTAAAAAAAAAACCTCCAGTGATAAATGTCCATTACCGATGGTCAGCATAAAGTGCCAGTCGCAATACAACGCCCGGCTCCTGGCGGGCTGGTGGCTCGCGGGGACGCCGCGGCGGAGCGAGGGGGACCCGAGCCCGGCCGCTCGCCCGGGTCCCTGCGCTCCGGTCCTGCCCGCTGTCCGTGTCCTGGAGCGTCAGAGCGCAGGGTCGGGGGCGCGCCCGGGACCCCGTGCTTCCTGGGGCCGGCGGCTGAAGCAGATACACGGATTACACTTTTCGCAGGCTCCCAAGGTGTTTGGGGGGGGGGAGAGGTGGGGACGCGGCCCCGAGGAGAACTGGAAGCGGCTGGTGAACACTTCTTTTTCCTCCCCGCACCCACCCCACCGCAGTCACAGTTTTACAAGCTTATATGGTCAAAGGGAGGGAGGGGGGAATAATGAAATGTATAAAATAACAATAGAAAAAGTAATACTTCTGGGAGAGGCGCCGCGGCGGCTCCGTGGAGCTCTCATTCTTTTCCTTTTCCTTTTTTTTTCTGTTCTGTTTTGAATACAGTCTCTCTTCTGCCACTAGAGTACCGCCTTTTGGCCGAGAGTTTAGCCTGGTCCTGGGGGAGCCGCCCCCCCTCCCCCGCGGCGGTCGGGGTCAAGGCCCCGGGCGGGATCTGGAGTGCCGCGTGTGCTGGAGACCCGGGGGACATGGTTGGGGAGAGGGGAAGATCGCGAGCGCCCCTCCTGCTGCCGGCCGAGCCCGAGTGGTCTGCAGCTTTGGGTCCCTCTGGAGGAGGGGGTGGCGGTGTCCCAGGGTCCTGGGGGTGCCCCCGGAGGCTCTGTTTAGCATTTGATCTTGGAGCTTTTGAGCTCCTTCACCTGTGAGTGTAGCGTCTTGTGGACAGCTAGAGTCCTGGACTGGCAGAATCCTTTCCCACACTCTTGACACTTAAAAGGCTTCTCTTTGGAGTGAATATATCTAAAGACAGAAACAGTTAGTTAATCCTTGAAAAGCGATGTGACGCTGTTTATTTACCCAAGGCTGACCCGAGATCCCTCCCCTGCTACAAAGGTGCTTGTCAGCAAAGGAAAAGGGGTTGTACACAATGTGCGCCAGGCAAAATACAGTTTGTACCGACCTAGATGAAGGAGATGATCGCTGAGCCTTTGATCCCTAGACAGGGGAGGGGAAGAGACCACCTGCTCTTTTGCCTGCTCTCCTGTGGGTCCAACTCTGTCTCCTTATAAGGCCTGAGTCAATACTAGAGCTCAATCAAGAGGCCCAAAGACTAACAATTCCTAACATTGATGTCCGGGATTGGAAACACTAGCACATATGGTTGTTAAAATTAAGATTTCACAAAAATAAAACTAAAAAGAAAGTAACACTCTCTGACAAGCTGAAAACCCATTTGGAGGGCTCAAATGGCACATTTTCCATGATCCAATCAATTCCTATTGATGGCTCTGAGAATGAAGGAAGGGAATTTAGGAGACCTGCTCTAGTCATAAGTCCTATCCCCAGGTTTCTTTTGCCCACATTGCAAACCCTATGGTTTCTCCTATGGTTTCCTTAGTGATTTTAAGGAAATGTCAATCTGGGGAGGCTTAGAGTCAGTAGGGAGAATCTCACAAACTCTACTGGAAGGAGGATGGTGAGGTCAGGGGCCCCAGAGTCCTCCAGGGCCACGTGCAATGCCTCACCTGTGGTCCCGTAGGTGGTCTTGCCTCCGGAAGGCTTTGTGACAGATGTCACAGGTATAGGGCCTCTCATCCGTGTGTGTCCGCTCATGGATAAGTAGGTTATAAGATTTGGTGAAATGGCGGCCACAGAACTTGCACACGAACTCCTTCTTGGTTTTGGAAGGGAGGCGTCCCCTGGTGGGCTTCTTCTCTGGTGACAGCTTGGTCACATCCAGGAGGGCACCCAGCCCACCAGCAGGAGAGCCAGGACCTTCTCCTCGGCCCAATTTGGAAGGATCTTCTTGTGTGGCAGCCAGGGCCAGGTTGGCAAAATCAAAGCGTGGCTTGGTCTTGAGCACTGGACCACTCCCTCCAGTGGTGATCTCTGGCTTGGGCTGGATGACATGAGGGAACCAGGGAAAGGCCGGCAACTGGAAGCGAGCATCCACCAGGCTGGACACTGCTCCAGGCACTTTGGAGAAAGAAGAGCGGGGCAAATGCATGGCCGGGTAACCCAGCGTCCACTGGTGCAGGTGCACAGCATGCAGGGCACTGAAACCATACAGGTTGGGCAGGTGGTCCGAGGGCACTGTGGGCAGGCCATTCACTGCCTGGAGGAAGGAGTAGTTAGTGAGCTGCAGGGACGGGTGGATAGGCACAGGCGCTGGCAATGTTTTGCTGCCCATAGTGACAGCTGCACTGGTTGTCAGTCTTGATCTGCAGAGAAAGGAAGAAGGGAGGGGAGAGAGGAAAAGTTCAGGGCTGATTGCCTTCCACCAGAATTTGAACCCACTCATACCCTCTCCTTTCCCCACGTCGTCTCTCACACAGAGGATGGAAACCCATAATGAAGAAGACTCTCTCCTCATGACCCTCAGGGTCATTCTGCAAATAATCCCTGGACAAGAGGAGAAACATCCTTGTAGAAAAAGCCAGAGTCTAAACCCTAAGCAATACAGCCAACTTAAAATGTGAGTCTACTGTGTGCAGGACACAGAAAACGGCAAAAGAACAGAGTAGTTGACATTGGACATGCAGGCAAGCCTCGGACCTCACAAAATCACACTCTACTGTGAAGATCACAGAATCTGGAATCTCTTTCACATTAGTGTTCAGATAAACACAGAAATACACCAATAAACACAGATTTTCATTTTCTGAAGCAAAACTGACTAGGTGCAGAGATACACGGGGATAGCTAGTGTTTTATAAGACAAGACTGTACAGAAATGCAGGGATCAGTGAGCCAGTGAGCATGCGTGTATGTGTGTGTGTGTGTGTGTGTGTACCCACACACGCATACTCACGTGTGCATGCACATGCACACACACACACACACACACACACACACACACACACACACACTCCCTTGAAAAGCCTCCACAGTCAGGCACAAATACATACAACTCCTAGTTCCTGAGTATTAGGTTTTCTGGCTGACTTTGGAATTGGATTCTAAGAAACCAAAGAAACCATTGTCTTCCTTAAAACTCTCAACTTGGACCTCAGATTTGCTATCTTGTCTAACTGTTAGGTCATGCTGTTGGCTTTCCTCTCTGAAGCTGCTTGCACACTGACTCCTCTCCCCTTGGGGATCAGAATCAGATCCCTTAGGGATCCCCTTTCCAAGGAGGGGGTACTTACTCCCTGACCTCCATACTCATAAAATCTGTCAAACATTTGCAATGTCAAATGCCCTCCTTCTTCTTCCACAGGAAAGGGGGGGGGGGGGGGGGGTGGATTTGGGGAGCTCAATGGTTTTTAGGTAGAGAACCCTGTGCAGGCAGGTCCTCATAGTTAAGGACAACTGAATGGATACCAGGCTTCTGCAGCCCAGGTGGTTCGTGAACCCTCCAACTACAAGGTCAGAGTGCTTGAGTGAGCAAGACCCAAGAGAACCCACACTGAAGTGAATAGAGACTGAGGTCTCCTGCCCACTTTTGTAAAGGTTTCCAGCCTGCAGGGGAAGGTCTGGGTTATAACTCTCCAGACATAACTAACTCAAATCTATCACTAGAGGGAAAAAGAAATTTAATTTTTAAAAAATTGGGAAAAGAAACAAAACAACAACAGCAAAAATCCAATGAGCAATATAAAGCGAATGTGCTTAACTCTAACTCTGGGCTTGGAGTTACTCAAGAAACAATTGTTAGAACAAAGTCCTTGCAACTCCCTTTCTCATTTGCTCACTCTCTGGGTCCCTGCTTCTGACTTTTCCTCCGGCGCCCTCTCTCCTTCCTTTCTCTTTCTCGGAGAGGAGACAACCAGTCATTGCTGATGCCAGGGAAGTGCAGGGCATCGCTCTGCTCTCTTCTCTGCATACTCACCTCTATAAGCCTAGCCTACCTGAAGGCTTGAGATCAAGGCCTAGGCATGGACTCATCTGCCTTCCCCTGCCTTTAAATATTTGCTGTCTGCAGGGATGTGCAGTGCTTGTTGCATGGAGGAGTGGGACCTTTCTGGCTAGAAGCTGGGAGGAGAGTGTTTGGTGCTGTGGCAGCCTCTGCAGAAAGAAGTATAGCTGGGGGGAGGGATCCTTTTGAACCACAAACTGGCAGAAATTTGCATGCAATTAATTCAACCTTGGGGCACAGGGTGGGGGTGGGGTGGCACATAGCTGTGGATATCTAGCCTTAGAGCAATGGCCACTGCAGAATCTAGGCACAGGCTTCTCCACAGCTCTTTAGTGCAAAGCGCTGTCCTGGACAAACGTAAGATCATCCCAGAGCTAGGAGACAAGGATGAAGCCCAATGCAATTGGCCAGACAGGAAGCTGGGACCCCTTTAAGTTGGAGAGGAGGCAGAGGAGAAAGCTACCACCTTCAAAGCTCTCCCCAGACTTAGGTGACAGGAGCCCTCTTTGATTTGCTGTCACCTTTTCTTTCCTTCCAGGCACTGGAAATTAGATCCTGGGCTCCTGGAGGCTAGAGGCTCCTTGAGAAGGCAGAGGGCAGGGACTTGCTACTGCTGGTGCAAGGCCTATGCAAGGCCCAGCTAACTGGGTGGCAGAGGGACCCAAGCCAACTCTGTGTCTGGGTCGAAGAGCTCAACAACCTTTCCCCTCTGCAAAATTAGAAAAGACCCCAGAAGCCTTGAGTTTCATAGGGGTCTACGAGGGGGATGTTTGCAGCCATCTGGACTCTGGAGAGCCAACCTTTCCAGGCTATCTGCCCGATCTTATTTTCCCCAACACTCCATTTATTTTCTTCCTACATCGAGGCTAGTGTTATTTTCTACAGCAGACTGAGGTTAGGGCTTCCGTGGTTTTCACCAAGGATTTTCCCCGTGAACAAAATTCGTTCGAAACGTGGCTCTTGACTTTAATAACCAGAATGGGCCGCATGCACGATCCTGAGATACAGTTTCAGGCGGTCAGTTGAGAGAAGAAATCAAGTTTCTTACTTGCCTCTCGAGCCTGAGAGGATGCATTGAACCCCCCTGTCTCTGCTGCTTTCGATCACACCAACGCCAAGACCCTATAGTGAAGTCTTTCGATCTTTTAAGAGCCAAAGGCATCGGTTACCTCTTCCCAGGCCAGGCATACGCGCCGCAGGGACCTTAGGGTTTAGGACTTGGGAAGTGCTACTTAGAGCCAGGCAGAGAGCCGCAAATTCAGTTTGCGCCTCAGAGCCTCAGTCCCTGCTCAGTGGCGGAGTCGCTCCTTGTGTCTTGTGTGGTGAAGCGCCAAACCCAGGTCTGCCTCCAGCCCCATGCAGGACATTAATGAAGTGTGCAGAGTCTATTAAAGTGGTTTATTCGTGGCTAATTGAGCGTGCGCGAGTTAACTGCTTGCATTAATGAGGAAGGAGAGAATTATAGGAGCCTGCACCTGGAGAAAACCAGCAGTGGCAAGATAATCATCCTTGACATCGAATCCTCAACAAGGGTGGTCACAGAGAGTCCAGACCCTCCGTGAGCAGGACTGACCAGCGTGGGGTCCTTGGAACCGGCATTGTCCCAACGAACGAGATCGAAATAAGCCACGGTGGAGACGGCCAGCAGTCCTGCTGTATCGAAAACCCGCTGCTTCCTCTCTGATCTGCTCCTCCATCTTAATGAACTCGCAATTTCTTCCAGGAACCTCGGCTAGACAATTTTCCCCACCATCACTCTCCATCCCTGGCCAGCCCTTCTCTTCCCTAGGAAGCTGTGAACTCCTGGGGAAACTAGCTTTGCACGTGATTCTCTGTGTTTCCAAAAACAAAAACAAAAATCGCCAACGGCGCCTGTTCCAAACCCGGATGAAATGGATCGAATTCTTGCAACAAGGAAACCTTTGCAGCGACCTCACAACCCTTGAGCCCATCCCGAGCCTACCTGGGCGCCCAGGGGAAAGCACGGGTGCGGGGTTTCATTGTTAGCAGAGATATTTGGCAGGAGGGTGCGTGGGAGAAAGTGGTTCAGCCCCATATCCCTCAACTTCCATCTGGTCTCAGATTCCCGTTTTCTTCCATGGAGGCTGAGTTAGGGGACAGTCAGGAGAGCAAAAGAACCCTTTTCTTCCAGTCCGCAGCCCACACACGGGGGTTCGCGGCTCCGAAATGGTTCTGCTTTCTGGGGCATGAGAGTCTCCATTGAAAAGCGGTGCTCCCCCCTTTGAATGACCAAGGGTGAAGTTGCCGGTCTCTACGATCCAGAGCACACAGCCTAAGGGAATATATCCCAGAGGCTGAGCCCGATCGCCAAGCCCGCGGCAGACGAACGCCCGCTGGAGCCCGCGTCTAGCCGGCCTCCTACCTGAGCTAAAACTCCGCCGAGGACAAACTCGCCTTCAAGAGCCAGAGGCTGGGCGGTGCACCTGTCCCTGGCGCGGGCGGCGGCGGCGGTGGCCAGCACCCGTCCGCTTACTTTCCCTTCCCCAGTGCTCGGCTAAGGCCGGCCGGCTTGAGCTAGAAGCGCGCGCGTCTGCACAAAGTTGGTGCCCGCTGAAGTTGCTTTGGTTTCTTTAAAAATGGGGGCGAGGGGTGGTGGTGCAAAGATCGACTTCCCAAACCCGTGAGCACCTCACCCTGGGATGCCCCAGGGACCAAGGCCCTGCCTGCTTCCCCCAGAGGTCAGAAGCTGGGGACCCCAACAGGAGATCCAGGAGCCAGCAGCATCGCCCCCGCCCCCAATTCCCAAAAGCTGCGGCTCTGGCTTCCACAAAAGTCCGGCAACCTTCGCTGGGCAAGAAGAGCTTTTTTTTGGGGGGGGTGAAGGGAGGGGGAAGGGGAGAATACTTGGAGAGAGAAGAGACACCCACGGCTCTGGGACAGGGAACCCTCGGAGCCTGGTCCCCCCGCATTCGTCCTCGCTAAGTCCCCGTGCCCTGGGTTGCAGTTACCTCGTTCCGCGGTGATCCGGGGGTGCTGAGCGCCTCTCTAGGGCTGACTGCGCGGGGGCGGCCACGCCAGAGGCCCTCGGACCCCACGGGCACCCCTGGCGGTCGGTAGCCCCGGCTTCCCTCTCGTGGCTGGGACTCCGGTCGCCCGGCACGCGGGAGCAGCGTTCGGCAGCCGCGGAGTCTGGCCCGGCCCGGGATGGTGAGCTCCGCTCCCGGCTCCTTCTCTGGGTCTGAACCCAAGCGGGTGAGAACGCGCCGAGGAGAGCCCGAGCGCCGTCTCACACATCTCTCTGCACCGAGCCGCCTACTTATTTTAATCCACCACCCACCCTCCTCGCCCCCCCTCTCCCCGCCTAGCCTTAGGATTCTTCCCCTCCCTCCCCTGCCCCCCAACCTTGCTCCGCGCCTGCGCACTAAGAAACAAAGTTTTGCTGACCCGGGCAGCCAACTTTGGCAGCTGCGCTGGCTTGGCCCGGGCTTCTCCCGACTTGTGTCCCCTCCTCCCCGGTTCCGCGCGACCCTTTCGGCGTGTGTAAGCCCACAGGGCATTCCTGGCGCACCCCGAGAAACAGCTCCTAGCAGGCGAGGGTCGACTAGAGCAGTGAGATTCGGGGTTCCCTGCTCGCGCTTTAGGACGCTGTCTGTGCCTATGTAAAGTGGCGGATGGGATCCGCAGGGAGGACTCTCTGTACTGAGGGTCATCAGCACAGTAGCTTGGGCACCAACGGCCTTTTTGTAGCCTGGCACCGACGGCTATGTTCCCAGATCTCCGCCCCCCCCCCAGAAGCAGCAGAGCCAGGGTATGGACATACACGCTTTCACGTGTGCTGGGAACCAGGGAAGTAATGCAGGCAGCTCTGGCTAGTTCCTGTCGAGGAAAGGCCATGTCGCTGGCTCCATCCAGCCAAGACATCTGGGTGCCCAACCCAGCTCCTGGACTGCGGTGTTCTAGTGAACGATTAGAGATTGAGTGGGGCACAGAAATAAGGAATGATTTTCTTGGGACTCTAACTCTCTGGGATTCCATTCCAAAGTACAGGCGCATACTATAATCACTTACTAGCTTTAGGGTGGACACTCAAGAATCAGGGCCTTGGGATCCAGGAGTTGTTTTGGAAATGTAAAGGGAGCCAGGGCTTGGCCCAGAATATTCTGTCTCCACTACGTTCAGGCTTTGTGGAGGGTACCACTGCTCTCTTTGACTGCTCATCTGGGAAGCTGACCTCCAGCTGACCCTAACCCCATCTCTGCCAGTTTTAGGTGCCAGTTTCTGATTTGATTCTCTGCCTTACCCCTCTGTGTCCACCTGGGGATCTCTATGTATGAGAGACCTATGCATCTCTAAGGTATGCAGAGCAGTCTCTCTTGAGCTCTGGTATTATAAATGTGCAAGAGTGATCTTATTTTCTTTTTGGGGGGGGGCTGAACTCTGGGCCTGGGCGCTGTCCCTCAGCTCTTCAGCTCAAGGCTAGCGCTCTACCACTTAAGCCACAGCACCACTTCTGGCTTTTTTCTTTTTGCTTATGTGGTGCTGAGGAATTGAACCCAGGGCCTCATGCATGCAAGGCAAGCGCTCTACCACTGAGCTACCTTCCCAGCCCCGTGATCCTATTTTCTTGATGTGGATAGCACATTGATTCCAGACCTAGGAAGATGGTCTTGGCCATTCCCCCAAGATATAGTTGAAAGAGATGCTCCGTATACTGCCAGCCATGAGAACAGAACCTGGCCTCCAGCTCCTGGATCACTTCGGCTGTGGGGAAAAAAAAGAAAAAAAGGCTTTCTATATTTGCCCAAAAGGCTTCACTCATCCCAACCCACAGGTTTATACAGGAGTAAGGAATCCATGTGTAAGTTTGCCTGTGTTCCTGTAAACTTGGCAACAGCCAATCGAAGGAGTGACCTGACCACAGTGGGGCCACAGAAAGGAGCTGAGAATACTCCCTATCAAAAGATTCCAGGGCAACAGGTTTCAAAGGCAGGGGAAGTCCCTGATTTCCACTGTGTGTGTACCAACCTCTAGCTCCTCAAGTTGGCAAATTCTCCAAAAGCAGATACCCTGGGCCTGGTGAGTCATGCTTGCCTGTAAATCCTAGCTACTCAGGAGGCTAAGATCTAAGGATCATGGGTTGAGGCCAGCCTGGGTAGGAAAGTCTATGAGACTCTTATCTCCAATTAATCATCCAAAGGCCAGAAGTAAAACTGTGGCTCAAGCACCCATGATAGAGCCTAGGCCCTGAGTCCAAATCCCAATACCAGCACAAAAACAAACAACAGATAGACAAAATTGGACCACAGGTCAGATACTCTTAGGAAGAATGACTGGATATGTTGATAGGATGAAGGCTCCTGGGGGTGCCCACATCTCATCCTCCACTCAAAATTTTCTCAATTAGGTCCCTTCTCTCCTTTGGCCTATTTTTCTCTCACAAAGCACCAATCCCTGGCTAATCTGCCACTGGATTTCCAGAAAGCTCCAAATAGTAGGATCCCTGAAGAACTCTAAGCTCCCCAGATTAGCAGTCAAGAGGGTAGCACTACCTTGTTCCTGAGCCTATGGAAAACAACTTGCAGCCGAGCTATTTAAGGCTGTGTTTGCCAAATTATCTGGAAAATTGATCTGGACCTCTGCCAAACCTTAGAATTTAGAAGAAACTGGGTTGGGTAAGAAATGGAGCTTGGGATAAGTCCCTAGGGGCCAGGACCCCAGGCTTTGCCTCCCAGCTGACCATGCTGCCTGAGTTGGACAGCAAAGCAGGAGAGAACTGGTGTGTGGGGGGGTGGACATGTCCCTGGGGGCAGGCACCACTGAGCCTCTGCAAGGGCACACCTGCTTCATTCCCCTGGCTTCCAAGAGGCGACACCCTACCTCACCCACAATATACAGCTTCAGAATGTCGGCAAAACGAAATTCAGGATCTTCTAGGAGTCGCAAAGTCCTCCACTCCCCTTTGAGTTCCTAAGTGAATGACCTCCAAGTCTTGGCCTCTGTCTCCACTGGAGGCCAACCACAGTCCTGTTTCCCTGTGGGTTGCGGTCAGGAAGAAAGCCCCGCGCAAGGGGAAGTCTCACTGGTGGGATGACCCCACTCCTCTCCAGCTCAGTGAAGAGAAACTGTTCCAATGAAGAAGGCCTGCATCTCAGCGCCCCACCATGACTGCATCTTGCAGAGACTTCGAAGGACAGGGCCCACACCTAAGGATGCTTTTTGGCGAAGTCAGATTCGTTTAGGAAGCTAGAGTGTATCACATTTCCAATTCGGCAACTGCCCTGTAGAGTCTGAACGCAGCGTTCCAGCCCGCCCCAAAGCCCAGCGATGGTGGCACAGAACTCCGGTCTGGACCCTGAGATCTTGATCTCATGGCTGGGGTTCCGCGATGATCTCTGCCACCAGAGTCTCTCAGCCGCCCGCGCGCCCTGTGGCACCTCTGCTCGCGTCCAGCCTGCGGGCTCCAGCCCCACACAAGACGCTAGCGCAAACGAACGCGGCGGCTCCTCCAGCCTCTGCCTCCACCGAGGCATCCGGGGGGGGGGCGGGGGGTCGTCCCAGAACTTACTGGAACCTGGAACCTTTTCTAAAGGTCTCCACGGATTAGAAAGCAGGCTCTCCACACGTAAGAAACCAGAGCTCCAGGGCCGGATGGCGCGCTAAACACCACATCCCACCAGTTCGCGGGGGTCGGGCTGGAGAGAAACGTCAGCCGAAGAAGCCTCCTACCACTAACCAAACTGAGCCCGAGCCGTGGCGTCCAGCCTCCCGGACGATCGACGATCTCCTCCAGTCTTTTTGACCCAAACCCCAGCCTCTCTTCTGACTCCAGATCACTGGAAAGGAAAAATCCTCAGCCTGAGTTCCCCGTAGAAATTGAGCAGCTCCCAGAAACTTAACTAGGTAGTTTTGGATTTAAAAGAAAAATTAAAAAAAAAAAGGAACCCCACCTTTCCACACTCCCTAGAGGCAGAAAACTGACCTCATTCTTTTCAGAGCAATTTATTTAACACTGGCAAGTTTTCGCTTCAAAGTCAAGCTTTCCTGAAACGATTTGGTAGGCGTTTAGGGGACGGTATCTATTCATTAACTCTCCTTGCTCCACGCATGTTCAGTGTTCAAATAACCGGGAGATTTAAGTACCCCTCTGTATTCATTTACATGACGGATTGCCAAGGCTCAATCGTTCCCCTGGAGCCATTACCGAAAACCAGGTCAAAAAAAAAAAAAAATCCATGAGCTCGTGGAGGGAAGGGGCGCGGGGGGGGGGAGAACGACAGATTTTTGTCGCCCACCTTTGTGACAATGCCACCTCTGGAAACGTCGGGGCCATCGGAGGAGGTCTCTGCCCAGAAGAAATGGCAGGTGACCGCAAGGACAGATGTTTACTGTGACAGGGAGGGACAAGTTACAATATCAAAACTGAAAGGGAAAGTAAGTTGTGTAATGCCAGGGCCAGTCCCGGTTCGTAAGTTCTTTTCCAGCACACTTTTTGTTTTGTTTTTTTTTGGTAATTCTGTCACTTCCATAAGTGCAATGAGACACGTGCGTCTATCTGCTTCGGGTTTGCAAGAATTCGTAGGAGAAATACGAACACACGCACGGGCTTACGTGCCATTTTGGGGGCTATATACATCCGTCGGTAGCAATGAAAGGACAATACTGTCATGGGGGGCGAGGATCCTGGGTACAATGTACGCCCGAACGCACATGTTGGAACTCTACCTTTTCTACGAATGTGAGTTGTCAGAGTTATTTTCGTTATCAAGCAGATGGGCGCTCTGGAGTGACTGAAATTTCCCTTTATCCAAAGTGGAAATCAGTGCATTCGACTAATCAGTGCAGGAGGACTAAGGAGGACGAAGGAAAGTTCTTTCCAAGGAATTGTGCAGTTGGTGGGGGGGGGAGGGAGCCCCCCCATCCCCGCCCCCGCCCAAACCTGGTGCATAAAACCTCGGGCCACACCAGAAGCGCTGCGCTCCCGCCCGGCGACACCCACTGCCGCCCGCGCAGGACGAACGAGCGTTTTGCTCGCCGTAATTAAACATTTCCAGACACTGGAGGGTTGTTATCTGCAGAG